TCGCCGAGTGCATCTTTCGGTAGTCTCGGTCATCGCGCGTCGCCATCGAGAGGGATAACGCGCCCCGTTCGAGCTCTCCGCGCGCCGCGCCACGCCGGTTCGTTATATAAATTTCGGCAAAAACCGCCGCGCACCGGTAATGAGAACGTGCTCGAATTTTTGTGTCTGTCGTCGTTAGTGACTCTCTGACTAACCTTCTAACTTTTTCTCTTCAAGAAGCAGAATAATATTATAAATTATAATATAATAAAAGATGAAAAAATGACGTAACGGCGTAGCGAAACACGTACGCGCGCACAGATATCTATTCATTTTTTGTAATCGATTACGTGTAACGCGCTCGAGAAAAGATAGGTAAGATCGATATAAAAGAATTTGTTAAGGTGATTGAAAATTGATTTGTTCGACGATACGAGATTCTAACGAATAGTTTAGTTAACATAAAGAACTTTCATTTAAATGTCTGCGCTACGTCATCGCCATTTTTTCTCGTATAATTAGCTCTCCAAACTAACAAAGCGCTGGAAATAAAAGTGGAAAACGTAATCTGTATAATGGCGGATACATATCATAACATAAAATATGTATTCTGAAATTATCTCCAAAATGATAATTTTTAAGTTTGACTAACGCACGCACGCGCACGCGCACACACACAATAGTCAAAGTCAGGTAGGTACATAAAGCGAACGTTCAACGACGAATTAATGGCGGGGCAAATAGCGCACGTGCTCCCCATTGCACGTTACCCGAACACAAACTGGCCAAGATATGCGTATTGACTACTATTGAGCGATCTACCACTGGCGGAATGAGAAATGGCAGTAATTATTTAATCGAAACGATTTTCTCCATTATTTCGAGCATGCAGATACAATCGAGACGCGCTATTTTCGACAACACTGCACGAAACGAGATTCACATTTACCGAATCTGCAAACGTTGATCGTAATTCGTCGTTGATCATAATTATTCAGATTTTGTGGTAAGAAAAATTCTCAATCTAGTGGTCAAATATGCAAAACAGTTTCAATAATGAAATGGTCACGGCCGCCTACGCACTTAATCTAAACTAAAATAGTAAAATATCTATTTGACAATCGCGAGATTTTGGTGGCTTTTTCGATGAGTTTCGACTGACAATGAGATTTCACTGACTGTGAGACATCGACTTAAAACTTATTTGCATTATTGTCCTGGCACTAAAGTAACAGGATATATTAAATCTTAAATCGGTTTCGGTCGCGGAGCAATTCAACGAAATTAAGCCGTCGAATCAACTATAAAAGCTATTTGAGAGCTACATTCCACGTGAACATTCGGACGTCGCAACTAGTGAAAGGAAACCAAGACCAAGTTTATGAGAAGAATACTAATCTATTACGTTACATTGACGCAAGCGAGAACAGTTTCGAAATCATCCCGCGGGATCAAGCGATATACGTTTATGTGCGTGTATATGTCAATGATATAAAATAAATGTAAAGAATTATTTTTCTTTGATGGGATTTCAACTATCTCTACAAATCGCCAATTATCGCCAATTATCGCCAATCGCATGTCGATTATGATTATATCGATTATAATTATACAAGGATAGTGCATCAGCAGCCTTTTCTCTCCGTTCCAATCAGGTGGTATTCTATAACACCTGTTGATTTTATCATAGTCAGTCACGTACAGTTTCATAATTACGTCAAGATACAAGTATTTATGGACGTAATAATAGTAACTCGTACATATATAATATAATAGTGAGATTATTGGTCGCAAATTTAAATGAAATTGTGATAATTAAAATTTGAGACTCATCTTCAATAGCGACATATTGAAATAAAGTTCCTTTGACGGGACTTGCGATTCGCATGATGAGTGTATTATGCATTATATATATATATAAAACATAAATTCGCTGGTCAAAAAGCGTAAATAAGAGAGCCTGAAAGAGTGGGCCAAGGTGAGCACCGGTTACATTCGGAATTCAATTCACATCGGTATTATAGTAGGTATCTCGCCTCGCGACGTGTGGTGGTGTGTGGAAAGTTCTCGGGCCCTGGGGGACCCGGGGTCCGGGGCCCGGGATGCTCAGGGTGAGAGCGAGTTGCGCGTGGAAGACCTTGCTCGCGGCTAATAAGCAAATGATTTGACAATGACGATTTATTATTAAAAAAATTTGAGGTAACGATAATACATATTTTAAACTCCGAGGACACAAGGAATGCAGATGCATACTCTTGACATTATGCGAGATCGTTAGGGTACGTGTTTCGGAGAGAGATAGGTACACCGTGTCGTACTTTCGCTTTCATCTCCATACGAACATCACTCTCGCGAGCTGCGCAGAGAACGTTGGTTTAAATGTTTACGAAATTTACATTGGTAGCAATAATGACGGCGTCGATCAGTCTTGAGACGATAAACGTAATAATCGCGCGATACGTATATTCAAGTATATTCATTTCTTTTCTCTCTTAAATGAAAAACAAATCAATGAAACATTACGACCGGACGCGTGCTCCGGATCTACGTGCTCCTTTCGATAAAGTTTTTATTATCGTTGTCTATCGACAATGTGTGACAACGTGAAAATTTTTCGCCATGTTCCTCAAACAAAACCCAAGTCAAACGTTGCAAACTGCAAATCATTTTTTATGTATTAATTCGGGCGTCAATCTGCCAAGTTTGACGGATATAAGCCGCTGATCGAGCGAGCCGCTGAACGATCAGAAACTTGGTTACGCACGCGTCAAACATGTGCGCGATAAACGCGAAAAGAATATATCGTGTTTAGATTATCAAAGCCCATGAATCGAAAACAGGTGCGACCTTTAATGTAAGGTAAGCGCGTATATGCGGGAAGATGTGAAGGAGGAAGTTATACGGCTTGTAGTCGATGTAGTATTTTCTACACTGATATTGTCATTCTACGCCACAGAATCAGCGAAACATTTGCACGGAATCTCACGTGATAAAGGGCAAGAATAGTGCTTCCCCTCCGCACCCCTCTCTCTCTCGATTTTTCAAAGAAATACGTGCACGTGTACGACATTTCGATTCGATTCGCGACGCCTTCAACGAAAGATTCGAATAACTATTTTTACGTCAGATGCCAGAGTGAACCCCCTCCCTCCCCTCCTCACTGTAAAGGTTTAAACGTAATTCCAAATCAATCGTCTAGCATACTGCCCTAGTTGCAACGGACAATGGTACTAGAATATCATACAATCGGTAACACGTTGCCGTTATCCTCCGTAAAATTAGGCATGGCAACAAACGCGAGACAAATAGACTTAAATGTTAGCCGCTGGAGGCTACGGACTAATTTACAACTACCATTTCGCAGCGATCCGAAATTCTGTAGCACGACGTGATCCGCGAGACCGATAGATAATTAATTAGGCGTTAACGCGATTGATGATGCATTTCATCTTTCGATTCACTTTGATTGAATATCGATGAGGCGCGCATTAATGGGATGCAACTTGCTTTTGCGTTAAACCGCGCAAGTAAAGTAAAAAACGCCCCCCCCCCCCTCTCTCTCTCTCTCCCATCACGTTTCTTTACACAAATTAATTTTTGCTTTACTTGTGTCGCATAAATTTCGTCTTTTATATAACAGTTGACGCGAACGCTATAATTAACGTCCATCCGCACAGTAATATATCTAGTATCTACATAGATTTAAGTAGATGGATAGGACTTTAAGCAAGGAGAATAGATCGAACGATATCAACATTTATACAGTAGTAATATGAGAGAAGCCCCGACCCGAAATAAATTTTTGGCCAAATCAATGAACTGTGCCTGTGTCCGTAAATGAAATAATCATTTACCCTCATCAACGCCGCGACAATCAACTTGCGCTAGTTGATCAAGTCAAGTGACTTAACGTACATACAATCAAATATCAAACACAGGCGTTTTTGCTTGTATGTAGATACAGTTGGTGCTACGCCACGCCGCGCCGCGACGATCGTGTATGCGTTATCGCGATATTACCATTGACCGTTGTCCGGCGCAACGCAAGGATGTGAAGGATGTCTTGGACTCGAGCAAACGACGACGAACGACAGACGACCGACCGCGACGAAGGCGTAACCGGAAGGGCTTATTTGCCAAGCGGCAATAGATGTTCGCGACCCAGTGACCCTCAACGATCAACCACCGTTTCAACATAACGAGATTTGTATTTCTAATTAAAACGTGCGTATTGTCCAGGACGTACGTGTACGTAGTACGCTCGCGCCCGTCTTCTCATCGACTTGGACACAAGACAAGCTGTTGGAAAAATTTAAATCGACTGCAAACTGCAATGGGGTCTCGTCCTGCAGGGAACTCTGTATACGATCAGTGTTTCGGGTTCGAATGCAGCAGGTGCAAAGTAAAAGCGTGCCGTACGATGCAGGGCAATGCAAGCTAATGTTTTCGCGCACCATTCCTCGTCATTTCGACGCACGTGCGTGCCGAGGCCGAGATGCAGGATGCAGGATGCAGGATGCAGGATGCAGGTGTCACCGACACTCGACATTTTGAATCGCAAACTTTGCAAACTTTTTTGAGAACGACCAAAATTACGTATCACGCGTACACGTCGCCCCTCTCATACTCTCGTGAGTCCAATGCTCAAAAATACCAAGGTTATACAACTGCAGTCGATTTATATTTAAAAGAGAGAGAGAGAGAGGAGAACGCGATACTTGTATATTTAATTTAATTTGATTTGAAATTAAAAGAAAAAGCGCGCGGGGACGGGACACAGGATATCGGTGTTTCGTGTCCCGCAAAAGAGTGAAAAGTCACACGTTGCGTTATTCATTGGTGCAGGACGCGTGGCGGGAAAAAACATTGCGTTCCTTTGTAACGTAAAAGGATTCCTCCGACCTTGGAAAAATAAGAGACCGCGCGACCGGGTTAAACGCGGTCGCCTTCGCCTTCGCCTTCGCCGTCGCGTCGCGTCGCAAACTTCCGCCCGATATAACTTGCAAAAGTAGAGGACTTACCCGTGACACCCGTAAGGATAACGGATCCTGCTGGCGAGTGCTGGCGAGTGGCGGATCCGATCGCGACTACGTGGAGTACGTGGAGTACGTGGTGGTCGTACGTACAGGATGGGCCTTCTCCTGCTCCCTCGGAACTCGAAACTCGGAACGGTCGCGCTAACAGGACGTTACTCGCCACTCGGTCCGATATTTCCGATAACTCGCATCGGTGTCGATGACTTTGCCGTGACACCGAGGATAATCCCCCTCTGCCCTCTGGTCTTTTGGCCGCGCGCCCTCGAGGCGAGCTGATCAGATCTGATGCCTTTTCATCACTTCATCAGGTGTCTTTTGGGAAACGATGCGTGCACTGTGCAACACCGTAGCTGTAGACCCCGCGCGACGCGCTCTCTCCTATCTCCTTTCCACTTTTCCAGTTTCCGTACGCCGTACGCGATGCGCGACGCGACACGCTGCACGGCCTGCACGCCGGGCGGGCCGCCGAATGCCGAATGCCGAATGCCGAATGCCGATTATGCCGCGTGCACCGTAATGCGCGACGACGGTTACCACCCGACACCCGACAGCTCCGACAGTCCTACACCGTTCCGTCTTACACCGATTGGTGTTTACTACTGATTGTGAGATTTGTGAGTGAGTACTCGGCTACTCGCACCAGTGCTACCCTGCCCTGCCACCACTGCCACCAGCCACCAGCCCGTCGCGCGTCGGCCGCGCCGTGCGCTGTTAACGTCGAGCACGCCGGCCGGACTCGGCCGGATCGAGCCGAGCCGAGCCGAGCGGGCCGAGACCGAGAGCCCTAATCATGCGAGCCTAATCATGCGATTCTCTATTTTTTCCATAATATAGGTACGCGCATCAAACTAAAACTAGACGATGAAAAATGATGGAGAATATATACTTAAGAAATTCACGTTTATTTCGAAAGAACAGAAATCGCATCGATCTAGCTCTCTGTTCTCCTTTCTAATTGTTAAAGCTGACACTTACTCCAAATTCAAGTTAAAATATTCAATTTTATATTTTTGATTGTAACGTTACATATAGTATATGTAATGTGTATTTAAAAAAAAAAAACGTGTCATGTAAGAGAGACAAAGTTATATGCTGATACATGTAATGTAATATTTATTAAAATTAAGATCCATAGTGTAGGTGTGTAGGCCGTGTGTAGGGTGTTTGAACTTTGAACTGACACGTATTTATTACGGAACGTAATTATTATGGTGTCTTTAGAGTAAAGTTACAGTAAATGATAGCATTAACGGTTGTCAAATTATATCAAACGTTGTGAAAAAAATTCAACGTTATAAGAAAAAAAATTTGATATAAAAATAAATGTATTTCCAGTTTATTTCCAGGACGTCCAGGTTGAATATATCTGACAATGAGATCTGACACCGCGTGTCAAATGTGACGATATTTTTCGTTCGTTTGCTTTACCATTTCTTCAAAATCACATTGATGTACGCTCGGTTGTTGCACGTTTCAATTTTACTTGTCGGCCTTGTCGCGCTCGACCGGCTCGACGAATAAATCTTGGATTGCTCCAAGACGTACGCGCAATAAGCTTCGACCAGGCACACTTCTTCATACAGGTCTGCCGTTGACATTTCGACGACGTTCGCGCATTCATTTAATAACCATCGAAAACTCCTCGGCAGCATTTTCTCGAGTACGTCGAACGTCTTTGGCTTCACGCGGCTAAAATTGCAATGATACATCCAATAATCTTTAAAAGGTCTAAACAATCTGAGAATATTGTCCGTGTGTTGTGACGTCGGGTTTTTATCCGAAATAAAGAGAGCGTCGTCGATACGCGATTCAAGTGCTTTACAAGATTTCTCATTGATGGATTGATTCACGTCCACGCCACGTCCGCTTTCCATGTTGATCAACGTGTCAAAAACAGATGCGTTGGTGCTCGAATTTAAAATATCGGACATCTCTGGTAGTATATTCTCACGTTCGGAAGTATCTGCTGAAATACTTACAGTTTCTTCGGTTTCTTCCGCGTAATAATAATCACCTTTACTTGGACTTTCCATACTGAGACGATCAATATCATTTTGCTTGACAAATTTACCATGCACGTCTCGAACAAGTTTGCGCTTCCGTTTCTTCGTTAGCCTTAAATCTTTAAATATAGCTCTCTTTTCTGTACTCGACAGATCTGTATTGTACGCTTTACAAAACTTGAACAATAATACGTCCGATAAAGTTTGTCCAGGAACAATATCTTTTAAACGTGCATCGTCATCGTCATCTTTATCTTCATCATCTGCTGGACATCTACTTGGGATTGATAATTTACCATCTGGGAGAATCTCGTTAAATATATATTCATCAGCTGATGCAGTTGCTAACGCACAAGTGTTTTTTTCACACGCATACGTATCTGTGATTGTATTCCGTCGAATATCGTCGTAGTGTTGCTTTTTCTTTATATCAATTTTAATTTGACACGGTATCTTTTTATGTAGATAATCGATAAAATCTTCCTTTCTCTCAACGCATTTCACATCCTCTTCCAAAAAATCTTCTATTGCATTCGTGCCCATCAAATCTTTCACCTTGGCGATTTTTGTTTGCTCAAAAAGTGATACAGTTTTTTCAACAAAGTGCAAATTTGAATCAACGGAATCTAATTGAATACCGTATTGCGAAGTCAACTTGTAGATACTAAAATGAAAAAGAGACACGTGATTATTTACCTGTGATATTTTACATTATTTTTCAAGTCGTACTTCTCTCTCTCTCTCTCTCTCTCTCTCTCTCGGGGCGTTACTTACAATTCTGATTTTGTCAAATGTCCACTTTTTGCAGACGAAAAGTCATTTCGAAGCATACTCGGAAGATCGTATAGTGGATGTTCCAACAATTGTTCGAGATACGAGTGACTTGGCGTTAATGTCGGAGAAAATTCATTTACCTCATTCAATGGTAAGTCAGTATAACTTACGTTGGTAATGCACTGTTTCATTGCATAAACAAGATCACGTGGCATCAAATGCTTATGCGTACGTATCTCGGCTTCTTCTCTGTCTGTTTTAGAACCAGTAGAGTCCAAAAATTTAATATACAAGCTATTAACATCTGGTACGTTTGGATTATATTTTAACTTGGTAGGACAGTGCGCGTTAATTAAAACGGCTCTTCTGCACTCGATATATTTCTGCCACTCCCGAAAACTGAATAGCTTTGTGTCGCAGATACCTTCGTCATTACGTGCACTGGAAAAAGAAAACAAAACGAGATACATTATGATGATTATAACAATACAAGGAAGAAATAATAAAATGGACAATAGCGTATCGAAAGTCGCATTACATTGCAATGTAATATATTATTTACAAGAGGATAACGGCACGTGCATGGAAGACGTTTCTGACGACATTCGACATACTTTTCCACGTTTTTTTCATCTACAGCTGCACCGAAAGTCACGCAGTCGTTCATAATTACAGCGTACGGCATTTTATGCGAAGTAAAATACATGTCCCATTCCCCAGACTTGTTAAATACAACACCACCAAAATTATGATTATATCTAGTTGACGTGTAATCGAGATTTTTCTTCAAAGCTTTTCGCAGGGAGCATCCATCTTCGATATCGCTCGCAATGACTCTTGATAAACCAAGTTTCATAATAGATTCTCCATGACCTGTTAGAGAACATCCTACATTTCGATTCGCATATGTGCTGCAACCTAATATAGAAGAGTCGCCTACGCTGCCCACTATTTTTTTGTTTAAACCACCACTCGTAACACCTGCAGCTATAGCGTATCCGTCATAAGCTATACAGCCAACGGTACTCCCACTATCTACGTAGATGAAAATTATATATTATATATTATATATATATATATATATATATATATATATATATATATATATATCAAAATCATGTTTCGCCAAAATATTTTCCTTGCAATATTAGAAGAAATATGAAAGTAACTTTATGAAATGTCATATCTACAATTTACTTCCTAGTACTTCTAACAACCGATGATTTTCAACATTCTGAACACGTCCATCCAAATTAACGTCAGACGTGCCTATTTCTTTCGATTTATCGCAAGCTAAATAAACTGCCGTAGGTGCTGTCATATTTCCTCTTGACAGCCAGTTTAATTTTGCATGTCTTGTTAATTTTCTTGCACCTTCCCCTACTAGGATGGAGTTGGGAAAATTATCCAAAACGTATCTGGCAAGAGATATCGGATGTTCCACGTCTGATATCGCGGCTACAGATCCACATTCCGATTTGAAGCCGTTTACTATGCTCGCATCCATTTGTACATCTCCTATTTTGTGCGACACGATATGCGATATATATATATATATATATATATATATATATATATATATATGTATAATTATTCTTGTATCATACATACATATATTTTAACGTAAACACATTTTAATACCTATATTATTTAAAACCGATCCATAACCGCAATTAAAAAATTCATCGCATTCTAACCACCATAACGCACGTTCTACAGCCTGTACAGAACTTGCACCACTTAACAAACTTTGATATCCAGTGGATGCTGCATTTTTACAACTCGTCGTTTTTTCAATAATTAGCGCATCATGAAAATTTCCAACATCACCATGTACAAGTATACATGGAGTATCCAAGTTTTCGCACTGACACTGCATTATATAATTATATGTATAAATATCAAATATCAAATATCTATCAAATTAATAAATGACTACGTTTTGCATCAAGCCTACATGCTACTATTGCAGATTTAAAATACAGATAATTTGACAGATAAATATAATCAGCTATGTATTTGACATTTGATGTGTTGCATATTAAGCGTGTGCGCAAAATTTTTAATAAGTATTTAATGCCCTATAGCCTATGCCTATGCAATACCTGTGCACACATACATGTAAACATATGTTGCTATGTACAAGTTGCCTTCAACTGTTACAGTGATTGTATGTATGTACATATTGTACTGAAAGTGTTAAATTCTCACATATATAATCGCCGCGCACGTACACCGTGACACCCGCGCGCGCACATACTCCTCAATATATTACACGTACCATGCATACGTATACATATACCACATTCCAAGCTACCTTATTATAATATTATGAATCAGTTTGGATATACCTACATACCTATTAATCTTGTCGGCAACATTACTAATTCCATTTTCCGTAATACCATCCAAACTCAGTAATGTTTTCAGTACTACAATAATGAATGCCATGGCACGGCCTTCGTACGTAGGAATACAAGATTTTTTGTCAAACGTCATTTTCGGAGCAGATAAACTTATTAATCTTTCCGCATATGATGATATACTTTCTATAAATATCATAATAATATGTACTCGTTGTGTGATGGAAAATGAGGATCTTTAAATTCATACGACGTTCATACTTGGTAGAGCTAATTCAGTGCAATATCGATTAACAAGGGATAAAAGATTTGGACAAATTATTTTCGTGACTCCAAGAAATTTTGCCATCCGTCCAATAATTCTTCTCATACCCTTGTGCGTTATGTCCATAGCTCGTGACAGGAACGTCATATCACTTCTTGTTAAAGATACTTCGGGAGGTACTAAGCGATCTAGTCTGTAATAAGATAAATGTCCTTCTCTCCCATATCTGCAAAACGTGATACATGCAAAAAATGTACACGATATATGATAAATATGTTATTATAAACAGAATAAACTATTAAAAAGGTCAGAGACAATTTTTTTAATGCGCGGTGGGACATAACATAAACATAAAGGACGTTAACAAAACCATTTACTTTTACAGTTACGCCGTACGTCATGATTTTATTATTTTAAAACTTGGAGCTTGAAAATGACGAGCAAAATATCCACAACGTACCTTATCATATCACCTAAATGTATATCCTGATTGTGAATCCTTAAAGCCAGATACAAGATTGCCCATAATTTTGTAGGTGTAATCAATCCCGGTCCTGTTTTATACCGAGTCGTTACATGACTTTGTTTGTATTTGTTGCGCTTGTGGCTTGGTACTCTTTTTGCCATATTTTTTATTCTACTTGTTTCCTCTTTAGCAGAGGAATTAAATTGTATCCTGTAATATGTACAACACATATTTAAATATATTGATAATATTTAAAAATATTGAAAGATAACGGAGAGTCCAATAGCCGTTTTCCTTTTCTTTTTTTCTTCAACACTTGTTTCTTTACCTCGTACTCGTACTTTCGCAAGATTGTCCCGCACTGGAGTGCCCGCTATATACACTTTGACTAAATGTACTGAGTACATCTCCTTCTGAGCCCGTTTGTGATTGCATAAACCTATCGTAGTCTGCAGTAATCATAAGTTTCTATGCATAAGACATAAATATTATGTTTATAATGAATTTTCAGAACGTGCATCTTACAAATTAACTACATATCTTTGCCAAATCATACTTTATTCCTATTTAATTCTCTTAAGGAAGTTTCTTCGGTTGGATAGGTAGAAGCTGTAGAATCTGCTAAGCTACTTCCAGTTTTTCTCCGTTTCCTAGCTCTCTTTTGCGACAAAACTTTGCCATATATAATTTCAGCATCCCTATAAAATATAAAAATACACACAGCGTCATTATCCATTAATCTCAATAGCGTTAGTTGCAACTTGTTGAAAAGTTGGATTTTTGTAAATATTTCAAATAAAACAGAAAGATCTCTCAGAGAAAATCTAAACCAGATAAAAATAAGTATCTTGATAAGCATTTCCTGTTCTTGTATCCACAAGATTGTAAATAATATCTGATTTCTTGGAAACACACACACACACACACACACACACACACACACACACACACACACACACACACACACACACACACAAATAGTTTGTATACGATAAAATATTTGTAACAACCTCTTTCTATATCTTCTGGCCAGTTTTGGTATCGGCTTCTTTTTTGCGGAGACAAAGGCTATTTCTAGTTTTCCCAGATATCGTGCCCACAATTGCAACACTGTTATTTTTATATCAGCTGATATACCAAGTTCGATAAGCTCGTTTGTCAAACCAATTAAAACAAAATTATATAATTCCCAAGACGTCCATCCGAGCACCTCGTCTGCAACGTCATACAACATAGAACAGAGCATAGCATATAGCATAGAACAGAGTCGTACCCAAATCTTGTGGCTACAAGTAAAGTTGAAACGTGCTTGATTATCATTATTGGTAGCACACATCGGTATAAACCTGACACAAACCTGCTTTGTCACTTTTTGCACGATGGATTTTCGTTTTCCGCAATCTCGTAGTATTTTCTATGGGCAGTTCCAGCTCTACCTCTTGCCCGACATCCTGAGCAAATAAAAGTTGAACGTACACTACCTATTAGTGCCAGTTCTTCTCTCAAGATGTTGAGTACACATCTACAAAGAACCTTACCTGGCTTTGCGTTTGACATGTCGTACAAAAGAAATAACCGGACGCTTTATAAAAATCGCTACAGCCACAGACTCCACACTTGAGCATTTTCTTTAGTAACTGTTTGAAAGCGATTGTACGAAACGCTAGATGTACACACGAAGGGGTGAACTGAGGGCTTCAGGCTTCAGTTAGTCCAGTTATTACTATCACAACGCAAAACGGCAAAAAGTGACCGCGAGGTTATGTTCAGTCACCACGTGGTTGTGCAGGGTTGTGGTTACGGTTAGCCCCGCTAGCCGCTAGCCGCTAGCCGCTAGTGCTAGAGACAGTAGACTAGTAGAGACTGGTAGAGACTAGAGAGCAGAGACAGCCAGACAGCTGTAAAGAAATGAAAGGATATGCGGTAAAGAGAGACGAGGGACGAGCCAAAACAACGTGTCACATGTGGATATACTTACTGATACTTACCACTAGTTACTTTACTAGGGTAGGGTATGCAAACAACATATATATATATATATATATATACCTATATATTATGCATGTAACATGAAACATTAGATTTAGATGGAATCCGCAAAGATTTTTCGTATAAGACGTAGGACGATACATCGAGATCGGGAGAAAGATCGTGACGTAGAAATTCCGTAGAACAATAGGGATAGATCAATAGAGAAATAAAGTAAAAAGGAAACATTTTATTCAAGACACTTATTTTATTCTTATAACTTTACTACATATTATGCATCATTGTATATTGTATAATCCCAAGTAATTTATTCGCCTGTAGGAAATAACTGATACGTTCGTACAAAAGTGTGGATTCTCGATAAGCACCGTGCTCAAATATAATGCTTTATAATGGAACGTGCATAATGCTAAGCGAGTAAAATTTAGACGCGTAAATGATGACTGCTGTTAAAATCTAAAATCAATCAACACGCGCGTTCCATTCGCGCGTAATATTTAAACTAATTTTTTTGCCTCGAAGAAGCTCTTGAGATGCTTCATTTGCCACGCACCCATAATCAGGACAACTACCGTCTGAGTCAGAGACCACCAGAATACACGGCGGTGAGTGCTTTCGGATGTCTGCCTAAAGCGCTCTTCCCGATACTGAAAAATTTGAAACATTTTCACGCAACAATCTCCCAATGCAAAGCTCATGGAAAGTTGCTTTATATTTTATATAGAAAGTGTGCATTTCGTACCCTCTGGTAGTTTTGCTCCTTGGTTATTTGCCCGACTTGATCCAGAAGCTGGCGTATTCTAAGCTGGAGCTCCGACAGCTTTTCCTTCTGCGCTACATTGGCATAATCGATCGCATGTTCCCCTACTTGAATATCCAGATGTACTCTCTGTAACGGAGATAGAGAGATATTTGCCAAGACTTCCCTCCCTGACCCAACTGAGCCAACATCGTCATTTATAGGTATCTTACCAATTGAGTACCGCTGAACCAAGCGGTGCTGTTCGAGTACAAGCAGATTACGTGTTCTCCCGGAGTATGCGAGGTAAAGGAAATTCGACCTTCGGAGCTATAAACTCGAGAGAGAATAGGTTTGTCGTCGGGATCCTTGACTTCGACGTGCATGCCAATGCCAGGGCTACTTGGCATGAAACCGCCGCTTCTTGGGTCGTAAAGCTCCACTTTGTAATTGACTGCAAGTTACGAAAGAAATAAAGAAATCATAAAGGCTCAGGCGGGGAAGTGGATTTTTTACCTAAAACTGTAGTATCGTCGGGGATCTCTTCGATGAAGCATTTCCGCTCAGTCTCGCCGATATGAAAATACAGACCAGTCCCAAACTGGAGAGTGTACAGGAAGACGAGAAAAACACTTGCCTGTTTTAGTTTTAACATGTTTCGCGCGATAAGGTATTGCCAGAATGCCAGCGACAAGACGATAATACGAGAGAGATCACGAATGAACGTTCGCGTTCGCACACATGCCAGACGAGGGCCAGCGACGTGCGAAACCGGAGCAGATGGAAGCAACTACGTCACCTTGGAAATGCAAGAACAAACAACCTCTTGAGCACTCTTGACAGAGTCTTGAAAACAAACTGACTTGTTGCCTTGTTGGTTTGGTAGACGTCAGAACTACTCAGAACGTTACGTCGACACACGCATCTACCAGTAATCTGCTTCTGCTCTGCACAGTGCACGTATCAGATCACATTCACGACGGCAGTCGGCAGTCGGCAGTGGTGAGTGGTGAGTGGTGGCAGGTGGCAGGTGGCACCACCAAGCACCGCCACCGCCGCGCCACCTCGCCGCCAGGCGTCAGGTAACGTTCACTTATCGATATTTCGGCGAATATCGATATAATCGACAATGAATCGAGAAGTATCTCTTCCGGGCGCCGTCGATTCTCTCGTCGAGAATGGATGTCTACCTGTTGACGTTTATCGCTGCGGCGATCGTTGTACTAATTGTCATATGTACCGCTTTCTTACAAGGTAGATTCCACACGCTCTATTACTTAATAAGTCAAGAGTTGCTTTACATATGAATTTAATCATATGTGGTAAAAAGCTTTGTCACTTAACCTTTAGGTTGTGAGTGCTGTGACTCACAACACACGCAGTCGAATAATGTCCACTACCAACGAGTTATATTCACAAGAACGTATTAGTTTCGAATACCGAATAGGTCTTGGATACACATATGTCTTGTTTATTGAGAAACATGATCGCAAATCGCAAGTATCTCTCAAAACCTCGATAAATAAGCAAGTTTTATTCTTTATTCTATAGCTATGCGGAAGGTACGAGCCAATAGACAAGCTCGAGACGACGGCGAGGGTGTGGCGGTGGCGCAAGCTGGACGATTGAGACGAGTAGGCGCCGTAAGAAATGTCAGACGTCGTATGCAGGCAAATGCTACGTATCGACCCGAGGAAGATGGACCCGATAGACGGGTTAATCATCCAGAAGATAACGATGAGGATGGGGAAAGGGATGACAAAGTAGAGTCGCCAGATCACAAGGTAGGAACAAAAAAACGGGCAAAGCTAGCGGCTAAAGCCGAAAAGAGGATCCAGAGAGAAGCGGCTGAACGAGAGAGGGAAGAGCGTAAAAAACGGGAACAACACTTGCAAGAGGAAAGGGATAAACAGGCTGAGAAGGAACAAGCCGAACAACTACGAACGGAAGAAGCGGAAAGGAAGGCTCGAGAGGAAAAGGAGAAGCAAGAATACGAAGAATATTTGAAGATGAAGGAAGCTTTTAGCGTCGAGGAGGAAGGTTATCAACAGGAAAACGGAGATTATGAGGAGAACTTGTTGCAAGAATTTCTTACGTATATAAAGCTGAATAAAGTACTGGTTTTAGAAGATCTAGCTGCGCATTTTGGACTGAAGACAGCGAGCGTAGTAGAAAGAATTCAACAACTGCAAGCTAATGGTAATTTAACCGGTGTAATTGACGATAGAGGAAAGTTTATTTACATATCGGAAGACGAACTTGAAGCTGTTGCTAAATTTGTGCGACAACGTGGTCGAGTTAGTATCACCGAATTAGCTGAAAATTCGAATAATCTAATTACGTTGACTCCTGCTGAGAGTTGTAGCGTTTCAGCTAGTTAGATATAGATAAATAATAAATACATGCTACGCCAAAGCTCTTATTGCATATATTTTGTACCGAATACGATTGTTGCATACAGTGCGTACAACGCGCCCGCGCGATTACTCTTAACACGTTCTATCTTTATTTATAATATAAATTTATTACATTTTGAAAGTAATTTTGAATTTTAACCGCTTCTGAGTAGCCATTAATACGTTTTCCTTTTGGTTCTACTTTGTGATTCTGCTGGTGATGCAACCATTTTTTAAATCTTATCCTTACCTCTTACCTCTTACTTAAAGAGATTAGCAGGAGCTCTAAACGAATCAAACTAGAAATTGATTGTAACTCGATACATTTTTAATCCTACTATTTTTTTATATCCTTGAATCCTTAAGAAATTAAATTAATACGAAAATGTAAAAAGTAGAAAGACTCAACGAAAGATATATTAGTAGGTATTAATTTCAATTTCCGATCTAAATGCACCGTCTAATGGTTTTTATTATTTTTTAAGTCAACGAGTCAAGACAATATAATCGTACGACGTATTTCGCTTTTCTTCGTTGAACCTTTCGATAACGCGGCATGGCGTCAGGAAGGAATTCTGCGACGCGATGTGCGTACTGACGACATATGGAATCGATGTTGCGTCAGATTCTAGTTTACCTTAAGCCACAAGAACTACACACGTCGATTCTCATTTTCTCCTGAGAATTGTATAATTTATTCCGCAGTGGGCACGGCGCTAACACGATTGTTTCGTCACAGAAAAATATATATTATATATATGTATATATTTCCGGTTTCAGAATATTGTAAATTACTATTACGAAGACAAGAGGAAATATTCTTCACAATTGAGGCGGAGAAAAGCGGAAAGATTTTGAAATGGGATAAAAAATATGTTTCGCGAAAAAATTACAGAGATAGTAAAAAAGCACGTCTTGTGTCTAAATACAGCCGCGTTATCTTTCCATTGCAGTCGAAAAATTTGTATTCGATGACAATATATCGTATTATATAATGTTTGACATATACAAAAATAAAAAGGATCGTTTTCAATTTTAGTATTCGAGAAAGCATGCGATCCATCGGATCATGTTGGTCGAAAATCTCTTAAATCGGGTCAAAATTTAAATCTCTACGATTTGAACAACACGTATAATTTCTTTGATGTCACTAGGTAGAAGAGTAGAAATTTCTTTGAGCATTGAAAGAGGAAAGGAGAGGAAAGGAAATGTGTCCGATGAATCTACGCGATGTTGTCGTTCTGCCATGCGAGCATATGGCAACGGAAGCGACGACGCGACGTCTCGTCTGAAAATGCATTTAAATCACATTCCGTTGGCCGTACACGTCCAAGTGTAAGTATTTTTAACGTTATTCGCGCGAATCCACTTGTTCTTAGATCATTGACTGCGGATACGATTACTGGCGAATTCTATAAATGTCTGTAAAGACAAGGCAGGGGGAAGGGGGCGGTGGAGATTTTCGAGAAACACGTTTCGGACAGTATTCCTTGCCGCCCGAGGAGCCGCAAAACTTTTCCCGTCGATTAATATATTTGTGTTCCAGTATAGGCGTGCATGTATCCTGTTGAAGGAAGTAAAATCGTCTCTGCTATACCGTTCTATTTTTAGCGGAGTCTTTTTTCCATTTCGTTAATAAATAAACTTAATAGACTTTTTAGACTTAATTATTGCTGCTATGCATATATATTTAAGTATTAGACTAGACTCATTAGAACGTGCGGCTCTAATATATACATATATGTGTAAGTAGCGAGTCTCTAGGTAAGCTTATCGTCGTATATAAGCAGTACGTAGGTTTGCGTTAGAAGGCAAACGAATTAACGAGCTAAACGATTAGCTGCTATCGATATCGAAGATATTATAAGACGATCTTAATGATTCTATGAATTATTAATGAATTTGTGTCGAGTGTTCTATTAATGTAAATAAGGCTACGGCCGAGCCCCGCCATTCTCCCAGCTATGACGGGGGGGGGGGATATTCCGCGATTCTGATAAATTAAACGGCTCGATCTCATTCTCGATAGATGAAATGACATGATATCGTCTCTGAAGAAAGGAAATTAGAATTGTCATATCTTTCATTCGAGTCTTTTTTTCACATTGTTTGTTTGCAGCAAAGTATTATAAAGATGCAAGCTTTTGATCGATTGATTCATCGCATGTTTTTCAATTGCAATTTGCGCGTTACTTCCGGTGTTGCAAATCGGCAGAAAAGTATATTCTTCGCTCATTTTCGATCCCCGATGCATATTTATAGATTATAGGTAGGTAGGTAGGTAGGTATCTACAATCGCGACGCTAACGCGACGATTAACGAGTTATAATGTATACGTGTATAAACTACTGATTGTGAGTGTGTCCATCCAGATCCAGGTGTTAATGTTCGTTCAGAAGCCACGGTCACGGTACGGTATCCCCACTCGACGATGATCAAAGATTGAGGAAGGGGAATGTCGGAGACTATGTAAGAACGGCAGAATTGACGGAGAACCAACAGAGTCTTGTTGCGACTCTGCGTAACGTTTGCTTCTAACTTTGAGACTCGGCAGATCCGGCCTTCATCCTTCTATCAGATCTATTTCATTCAACGAGGAACGAAAGCGAGTGTTAAATCGACTCAAGTGGAATTTTACTACGGATCGAGACTTAAATTTTACGGTGATCGTTAAGATCTATGTGTCGATGAGGTGCAAGATCTTAGATTGTCAAGGCACGTCCCCGACATTCTTACCCAGCGTCAGGTAAGTGACGAAGATGGAAAACTGTAAAAAAAAACACCGATCGATCTATCTCTTAATCGACCGCCTTTCCTACGACGAAGAACGATCAAATCACGCCAAGTTATGTCCGCGCCCATCTATCGAAGATCGTATCCACCTGTTTATCTGTTTGTCGACCAAACTTGAGTCATTTTCACCAATTCTTCGTGACTCTTTGATCATTAAAAAATCTCAATTTCCTCTTTCAATAAACCTAGCGCGCGCGCGCGCGCGCACACATGATTACTTTTTTGTTCTTGACATTTTAACGTGGTCAGGGTGTCAGTCTCTCTCCTCCTTGTGTTCCGTTGATGGATTAAGAATTGACATCATCAACTCTTATTTCTCTCTCACGTATCTTCTTATCCTGCTACGTTAATCTAAATGTATAATTAAGTAGTTGAGAATATCGAAATGTCGCGAGACATTATCTTAATTTCTTCATGATTCCAAAAGAGTAAAGAAAAGAACGTGTTAAAATTTCGATGAATATTATTGAGACATATTACGTGTGCTCGTTAGTAGTTTGCAAAGCGTACTTTTGTTATTTTGTAGCGTATTTTGAAATATATCGGGAAAATATGCAAACGTGTTGAAATACACACACAGTTATGCTAAAGATTGTAATAAAGATTAAAGAAGCAAAGTGAAAGGAGTGAAAGAAGAAAGAGGAATACATCGATAGTTCCAAAAACTTTTTACAGAAAGAATTTCTCGCAACATTCGACTTTACATCATCAGCTATTTCCATTCTCTAATAATGAATAAGTGCATCAGAAGCAGAATAATGGAGTATCGACCGATATATTTCGCAAAAAAAAGCCGACCGTTTATAATCGGTCTATAAAAATTACAACTTCAAAAAAAATCATAATTTTTATAATTTTCATAATTTTTATCTTCCATTGTATTGGTATTTTCCGCAGGCTAGCCAAAAATCTTGGAACGCGCAAAGGGAGTCGACGAGGCAACACTGGAAATCGGCTTGAATTATTAGTTCTGGTTCATTTGCATCACGTACCGTAGAGTATGTAACAAGGGTATAACAACATTTTCTTGAGAAAATATACAAGTACACTAAATATATTAAAGTAGAGTACAACTAAAATATTGTCATATTCTTTCTTTCTCTTTTTCTCTCCATAGCGATAAGAGAGATCAGTCGATAATTTTTTGCGTCAACTAAATTTCCAGGTGTTATCAATAAGAAATTCAGCAAACTACCTCCGAGCCATTGCTCATCATTAGCGCGGATTGCTTCGACTAACCCGGTTTAATTGAAAACTGCAAGAAGAAGGAACAGTTCGTTACGTCTAAAATTTATATACGATAGAAAAATGGTATACACCAACATTAGCGGTACCACGATTAAAGGACCTTATCAAGAAATTAAGTACGTACAATATTCCCACTTATTAATAAAGAGCAATAAAATCATGAATTTTGCGTAATCTATAAATTTTTTGCAACAGATGCTTATTAATATAATATTGGAAAATATCTTATAACTTATATAACACAGGATAGAAAAAAACTGAATAGTAATGCTCAATTGTAAATGTTGAAGGAAAGACAAGGAAAAACACGTGTCGCCAAGACAACAGCAGCAGCAGCAGCAGCAGCAGCAATACCGCCAGCAACAATCATCAAGAAAGGATGACAAGTACGGCTCTTGGGGACCGATTTTTAAAAATAAGGAAAACTTTGTCGACATGCATACATGTTAAGATTCGTTTTTCACCAGGACATATTCACACGTGTGCTATTATGGCCTTTGAAATGTGGTGCTTCTCGCGCGGAAGTGGTTTAGGATTAAAATGATTTCTCGCGCGAATTATGGCTCTTATTTGTGGTATCGCGATCGATTGAATCTAGTATTAATCCCACGTGCTCAATCAGTGGCATAACTTGAAGCTTGCGGGTCTCTCTCTCTCTCTCTCTCTCTCTCTCTCGCACAAAACAATCTAATCTGAATTTATATCTTAAGTATGTACAATCGCGATAAAGAATAGACAAAAGAATCTACAAATCGTGACGCACGTGAAAGCTCTGTAATAAAAGGTACTGCATAAACCATTTAATGATTTGTAATGTTCGAATGTAAGCTTTAAATGTCAAAAACTGTGTTGAAATCCTATCGACTTGCATTATATGTGCGTTGAAAAGTATATGAGTAATTTACAAAAGTGAAAGTGAAAGAACTTTCCGACTTTATTATCATTATTTGATAACTGAGTGTCATTAGTAACATAAGTTATGCCACTGTAGTGAGCTATCCTCTCGGTAGCACGAGCAACACAAATACGTGACATTGATTGATGCAAATAGCCGAAATGCAAATTGTAGTTCTTTTTTAGTGCTTTGACACGTGTATCGCTTTGTTTTCTCTGCGACAACAATGTCACGAAGACGCGATTAGAATGAAAATATTAAATCTGCAATAACGACGACAATGGTTCGGAGAAATTTTGATACGCTTCTCAAGATGTTTTACTTTCTCAATTCTGTTTTTTTACTTTGCTTTTGAATTCTATGGTCGCACGCTGTACTGGATATATATGTATATGCAGGGGGCTTACACATTATATGATGAATTTTAAGCGCTTAAAGTTATGAAATAAAGGTGCATTGAAACAATCAAACATGTAAAACATGAACTACGTCGCCAAAATGGAATACTTGATTAATTTCTTTCGTATGTGAGTGAGAGAGATTGTCCTTGGTTCATGATTAGTTGGCAAATATCGCATGACGTCGTGGGGCGTTACAAACCTAACAATATCTGTCGAAATCGATTTACAAGAGATAAAATCGAAATAACAAAATGACTTTTGTGGAATAACCATATTCTAACCATCTAACGAGATATTATATATTTCTTTTTGGCTTAAAACAATAAAACAATAAAAAATCCTATATCGAACTGAAATAGGGTGAGAGACGAAAATACCACGATAAACGACGATGCGCATCATGGTTCCGCATGGATATGGTGGGAGAAGAGGAAGTGACGGAACAAACGGTATTAAAAGCGTAGCAGTCTCTTTTACTCGAGGACAAATCGACCGAAAAGACTGTTTTCAAAGAACGTTGAAATTATTAATATATATAGGTACATACATATAAAAGACCATTTTTGTGAAATAACGCGGAGTATAAATTCGATCGAGCAAAATTAAATAAAATATTTTTTAGTTTGTAATCAATATCCCCCATATAGTAAAAAACAATGGATCGATTACTTTTTCATAGTCGCGCGGCAGTCGCGATAGGCACGAACGATTTAAGCGACTAGCCAAATTGAATATTTTATAATTTTCTATTATACATAATTAGTAGTTTAATTGGCACAGAAATGTAACCGGTGGATCTGATTGTGAGGGAGAGAGAGTGTGTGTGTGTGTGTGTGTGTGTGTGTGTGTGTGTGTGTGTGTGTG